CATAATCTGCAGATGGGATCATCGTTGAATATGCTCATGTTGTGTGGATGTTTTCTCAGTTGCCAGTGACCGGTAAATAGACCTATCTCTCTCTCTCTCTCTCTCTCTCTCTCTCANCTTTAGCTAAAAACTGATCTTATTTAATAAGTTCACAGAAGCAGTTCTTATCTTAAAGACGACATTCTTTAGTTAAGAATAGTAGAGAAGTCAATTTATGATTTAAAATAAAATAGTAAATCGATTCAAATTAATATTTAACTGTGATTTATATTAGTTTAACCCCTACTGAAAGTAAGTTCAGTTTTTCGCTTAAGAGATAATAAATAAATTCCTTTGAAATATAAACTAGTTCGCAGAAGCAGTTCTTATCTTAAAGATGTTATTCTTTAGTTAAGGCTACTAGAGAAGTCAATTTATGATTTCTGACTTAAAATATAGTAAATCGATTCAAATGAATATTTAACTGAGATTTTTATTAGTTCAAGCCGTACTAAAAGTAAGTTCAGTTTTTCGCTTAAAATTTATATTCCTTTATTTATATTCAAAGGCAGTTTATTTATTATCTCTTTAGCTAAAAACTGATCTTATTTAATAAGTTCACAGAAGCAGTTCTTATCTTAAAGACGACATTCTTTAGTTAAGAATAGTAGAGAAGTCAATTTATGATTTAAAATAAAATAGTAAATCGATTCAAATTAATATTTAACTGTGATTTATATTAGTTTAACCCCTACTGAAAGTAAGTTCAGTTTTTCGCTTAAGAGATAATAAATAAATTCCTTTGAAATATAAACTAGTTCGCAGAAGCAGTTCTTATCTTAAAGATGTTATTCTTTAGTTAAGGCTACTAGAGAAGTCAATTTATGATTTCTGACTTAAAATATAGTAAATCGATTCAAATGAATATTTAACTGAGATTTTTATTAGTTCAAGCCGTACTAAAAGTAAGTTCAGTTTTTCGCTTAAAATTTATATTCCTTTATTTATATTCAAAGGCAGTTTATTTATTATCTCTTTAGCTAAAAACTGATCTTATTTAATAAGTTCACAGAAGCAGTTCTTATCTTAAAGACGACATTCTTTAGTTAAGAATAGTAGAGAAGTCAATTTATGATTTAAAATAAAATAGTAAATCGATTCAAATTAATATTTAACTGTGATTTATATTAGTTTAACCCCTACTGAAAGTAAGTTCAGTTTTTCGCTTAAGAGATAATAAATAAATTCCTTTGAAATATAAACTAGTTCGCAGAAGCAGTTCTTATCTTAAAGATGTTATTCTTTAGTTAAGGCTACTAGAGAAGTCAATTTATGATTTCTGACTTAAAATATAGTAAATCGATTCAAATGAATATTTAAATGTGATTTTTATTAGTTCAAGCCCTACGGAAAGTAAGTTCCGTTTTCGCTTAAAGATAATAAATAAACTGCTTTTGAGTATAAATAAATGAATATAAATTTTAAGCGAAAAACTGAATTTACTTTCAGTAGGGCTTAAACTAATATAAATCATAGTTGAATATTCTTTTGAATCGATTTACTACTATTTTTTAAATCAAAAATCATAAATTGACTTCTCTAGTAACCTTAGCTAAAAAATATCGTCCTTAAGATAAGAACTGCTTCTGTAAACTTATTTATAATCCGTTATTTATATTCAGAGGCAGTTTGTTTATCGTTAATGCGGAAATAACGGTACATCTAATTCGGAAATCCCTGTTAAAACGAGAGAAATTAATTAAATTCAACGGGATTTTTTATAGGATATCTTTATTACATCGAAATTGCAAAATAAAAAAAGTCCACTAAATACAATTTAAAATATCCCATATTAAATATATTTAAAATATTCAGTGTTTAGAGATTTGATTTCAAATTGGCCAATTTGTGAAAGTACTTCAGGCTATTTTTCCCGTTTTTACTATCGGTAATACTCTGGAGGGCTTTCTTGCCTTGGAGCAGGTAGATATGTTGCCCAGAACACCTAAAGCTTTAGACGATGGGGTTGTTAAGACAAATCCAATATTCAACGAAAGGGTTCGCTGAAAGGAAAATCAATTTAAATACTTTATAAGAGAGAAAAGTAGAATCTCTCGAAAGTGTCTGATTACTGCAGAATCAACAATACTAAAACTACATGTATGTGTATATATNTTCTGTAGAAAATGTATAGGCTCTCCTAAAAAGGAAATCCGTATCAAAATTAAATTCCATTGAGTTGAAGTGTAGTTAAAAAAATAAAATAGAAAAAAAAACTATTTGACCTAAAGACGGTTGCTACCCCTTGAAAAAAAACTAAATTTCATCGAGAAAAACCATAGTTTAAAAAAGTGCAAATTTGAAAAAAAATCTTTGTCCGAAAGATGGTTTCTACTCGTTGAAAATTTCTAGAACCACGATAAGATTTTACGATTTAATATTGTGTAGAAAATGTACAGGCTCTCCTAAAAAGGAAATCCGTATCAAAATTAAATTCCATTGAGTTGAAGTGTAGTTTAAAAAATAAAATAGAAAAAAACTATTTGTCCTAAAGACGGTTGCTACCCCTTATAAAAAACTAAATTTCATCGAGAAAAACCTAGTTTAAAAAAGTGCAAAATTGAATCCGCTTGGAAAATTACAACAGTTTGATGGTTATGCAGAAAAAATGTACAAACTCTCCTAAAAAGGAAATACGTACCCAAATCAAATTCCATTGATTAGAAAGGTACATAAAAAAAGAAAATAGGCAAAAAACAAATATTTGTTCGAAAAACGGTTGTTACCCCTTGGAAAAAAGTATATTTTATCAAGAAAAAATCTAGTTAAAGAAGAGTTAAATAGAAAAAAAATATATCTTTGTCCGAAAGATCGTTTCTACCTCCTGGAAAAGTACAGAGTCACGATTAGGTGTTTTGGTTTGATGGTTATATAGAAAAAAAGTACAAACTCTCCTAAAAAGGAAATACGTATCCAAATTAAATTCCATTGATTCGAGGTGAAGATAAAAAAACAAAATAGGAAAAAAACAAATACATATTTGTTCGAAAGAGAACATCATCAAGATTTGAAAAAATCTTTGTCCGAATGATGGTTGCTACCTCTTGGAAAATTACAAAACCTCGCCAAGATTTTATGGTTTAATAGTCCTGTATAATAAATGTATAATTCCTTTATACATAGTAGAAAATGTACAGGCTCTTCTAAAAAGGAAATGCGTATCAAAATTAAATTCCATTGAGTGGAAGTGTAGTTAAAAAAATAAAATAGAAAAAAACTATTTGTCCTAAAGACGGTTGCTACCCCTTGAAAAAAAAAAAACAACTACATTGCATCGAGAAAAACCAGTTTAAAAAAGTGCAAATTTGAAAAAAAACTTTGTCCGAAAGATGGTTTCTATTAGTTGAAAAATTCTAGAACCACAATAAGATTTTACGATTTAATATTCTGTAGAAAATGTACAGGCTCTCCTAAAAAGGAAATGCGTATCAAAATTAAATTCCATTGAGTTGAAGTGTAGTTAAAAAAAACTATTTGACCTAAAGACGGTTGCTACCCCTTGAAAAAAAAACTAAATTTCATCGAGAAAAACCATAGTTTAAAAAGTGCAAATTTGAAAATTCTTTGTCCGAAAGATGGTTTCTACTTCTTGAAAAATTATAGAACCAAGATAAGATTTTATGGTTTAATGGTCCTGTATAATAAATTTATAATTCCTGTATACATAGTAGAAAATGTACAGGCTCTCCTAAAAAGGAAATGCGTATCCAAATAAATTCCATTGAGTTGAAGTGTAGTTAAAAAAATAAAATAGAAAAAAACTATTTGTCCTAGAGTTAAAAAGAAAAAAATATCTTTGTCCGAAAGACCGTTTCTACCTCTTGGAGAAGTGCAGTCACGATTTTTTTTTTTTTTTGATGGTTATGTAGATAAAGTACAAACTCTCCTAGAAATGAAATACGTATCAAAACTAAACTCCATTGATTAGAAAGGTACTTTATAAAATAAAATAGGAAAAAAAAACAAATATTTGTTCGAAAAGCCATTGCTACCCCTTGGAAAAAACTAAATTTTATCAAGAAAAAGTCTAGTTAAAGAAGAGTTAAATAGAAAAAAATATCTTTGTCCGAAAGATCGTTTCTACCTCTTGGAAAAGTAGTCACGATTTTTTTTTTTTTTTTGGTTTGATGGTTATGCAGATAAAGTACAAACTCTCCTAAAAATGAAATACGTATCAAAACTAAATTCCATTGATTAGAAACGTACTTAAAAAAAGAAAATAGGAAAAACTAGAAAAAAAAATATTTGTCCGAAAGGCGGTCACTAGCCCCTTAAATCTTAAGGATTTGCCATTTTTTATACTATTTTATTTTGAAGAAGGATAAAATAAAAAATCTAATCGCCTATGGCTTTTATCATTGTAGGTATAAAAATTTGGGTTTAAATTTGAAAACAAAGTAAATACCCTCCTGAAAAAGAAATGCATACCAAAATTAAAATCTAACGCGAAGGGTGCAGTTAAAAAATAAAATAAGTAAAAAACTAAATGTCCGTGCGAAAAACGGTCAGTACCCCCTTGAATCCTAAGTTTTATAAATTTTAAAGTTAAAACGTCCAAACACACCTAAACAATTCGATAAGCCCAGTTTGCCAAGGTACAAAAGTCAGAAAACACTTCACATAAACACAATAGTAATGCTTTGGATTAAGTCAAAGAAGAGGCTAATTTAAGTTCAGTTGGTTTCATTAGCCTAAGGTATAATTACACAGAATCTGTCCTTTAGCAAACGTTAATTATACTAAGAAATCTTTGGATAAAATTATTTCCTTTAAATTTGAGCCAGCTATGAGACAATTTTTTGAGTCTGAAAATGAGAAAGTACATTTTGAAAATGATAGGCTAGCATCAATACCTCTGGATAATTGGATCGTATATTCCCTGGGATAAATTTTACGAACGGAAAATGTATTAATAACGCAAAGAATTAATCTATTTATAATTAGAATTAGAATTGAAGAAATATATTCGATTAGGTTGCATATATTTTAGACAACTTTTCAGGTTTGTTTTTTCTTCTGGTTTTCCAACTTTTGCTTCATTTCCATCAGTTCGGCCAGACTGTTCAGCACGAACCTCCTGCTTTCTAATCTGTCGTCCATACCCTTTCTGCAGACTTCTTCCGCCAGTAGTAAATACTCTTGCGTCAACCATGAAGCTATATCGATCCCTTCCGATGCCTTCAAAACCAGCCCGTTTATGAAACAATTATCGAACTTATAAATTATATAATTGTTACGTACATTTTTGTGTGTTTCCTGTCGGGACGAGCAGTGGGCCGTTTTGCAGGCGTGCTGAAGATCGGGATCGTGGACGAGGCCCATCTTTATCAGCCAACACCTAGGAAGTATCAGAGCGACGAGGTACAGCAGAGTCTCGTCTATTGTCGGCCCGATGAAACTCGACTCAGAAAAGTTTTCGAATGCGTACGATGTCCAGGAGTCGCACTCTTTCCTTCTCATCTTCCTCAAAAACACTCTGAAACGTTTTAACATTGGTATAATAAAAGGGAATAAAATAATATTACTCGATATAATTAGTTTAATATTTTAAACGTCTCTCGAAAAATAAATATGGCTTTCTTATCATTTTTTTAAGCAGATCACAGTAAACATCAATGACAAAACTAACAAAAACCAGGAATAGAGTGCTGAATACTGATTACTTCTACCTCACTGAAGCTTATAACAGCTTCTTTTCTATTTTTTTTTCTTAAAACCATGTGATTCTTCACAGTTCACAACTCAACATTGAATCTGAATTGTTTATATGTATAAAAGTACAAAGAACACAAAGAACAGAACTGTTGTGCTTCTTGACATACTGCCTGCTTCTACGTGGATCAAACTTCATTTTTATTTTGTAAACCAAGTGCTTCTACAGTACTCGAGCATTATTAATCAGAAATTGTATAAAACTACAAAGTGCTCGGGATGTCTGCTTCTAGGCATCCTGCCTGCTTCTACATGGCTCAAGCTTCTTTTTTATGTTGCAAACCACGTGCTTCTACATGACTCGAGCATCCATCAAAAATAGTTTGTATAAACAACAAAGTGCTCATGATGTCTGCTTCTAGGCATACTGCCTGCTTCTCCTTAGCTCTAACTTCATTTTTAATTTGTAAATCATGTGCTTCTACACGGCTCAAGCATTATTCCATCGGAAATTGTACTGTCAATATTCTCACAAGTAAAATCCAACATGCCGCTCATTTATCGTCCTCCCCTCCACGCCGTCAAAAGTCATCTCCAAATCCCATCTTCCCGAATATATTCGTAAACTTATAACCTCCAAACGAAGAGCAAGGTTGCGATGGCAACGCCATCGTTACCCCTCTGCTCACTTATGTTTTGAAACTCGAATTATCCAAATACCGTTCATCCCAGTTCCAGTCATACCTTGAATCCTTATCCACACAAGACAACTCCCTTTGGCTAGCTACTAGGAAGGTTACCAAACACTACCAAGTGCCTTCCCCAATTAGAAATCCAAACGGTACTTGGGCCAGGACAAACGCAGAAAGGTGTCAGCTACTTTCCGATCACTTTTCCACAGTTTTTATTCCCCATCCCGATATGAATGTCACTTCACAATCAAATCATATCAATGAATTCCTTCACTCTCCTCTCCCTCTCGCTCTACCTCCTAAGCCCATCCACCCCGCAGATGTAATGTACCAGATTCTCCGCCTTTCCGAAAGAAAATCCCCTGGCCATGATCTAATTACCCCTAAAATCCTCCGCAATCTACCCAAAAAAGCAATAGTGTACATTACCTCTATTTACAATGCAATATTTCGCACAACCTATTTCCCTATCCAGTGGAAACTTTCTTTNTCCTGTAAACGTAAACAGAATATTTTATATAGATTTTTTTTAATGAAAACTTAAAATCCTGCATTATTTTCCGGACAACCCAATACTTAATTTCGTTTTTCAAATGTTTTCATTTCAAATGACGTGAATCAATTTGTTTCTCGGCGACAAATGAAATGGCCACGGAGAGCTTTACCAAAAAGGAGGGAAAATTCAAAAGGTGTGGTTGAGATGGGAGGTTGGTGTCCGAGTGGATCGAGGTCACGATAGCTCAAGTGGTAGAGCAGCGGCGTATCAAGCCGAAGATCGTAGGTTCGAATCCCGCTCGTGCCATTGACTTTTTTATCTCAACTAAAAACCTTAATTAATTGTATGATATTAATTGGTCAAGCGGACCACGAAACTAATGAATTTTCTGTAGATATTTTAAGCATACTTTAGTAAAAGATAGGCAAAAATTGGAAAATATCAGCTAATAAGGGAGAAAATTTTTCCTGATGGCCAATGTGATTTTTTGGATTCGTAGGAAGAATCTAGGATTCAGTTTTGTTTAAAGAAAATGTGAAAATCTTCATCGATCAAGAAACAACTGAATTCTTAGTGGCATTCTGTGGTTTTATATATATTCCTAAAAAATCTGAAAACCAAGATGTTTTGAGTAAAAGCAATTGGTTCTTTCAAAAATAGTCCTTTTTGTCAAATAAAAATCAAGCTACGTAGAAGCTGTCAGTATGTGTAGAAGCAGACCATGAATTTTGTAGATTTAAACAAATAATTTAGATGAATTAATGCTTGAGTAGTGTAGAAGCGATTTATTCTTACCAACAATCTCATATCAACTACGTAGAAGCAGTCAGTATGTGTTTTTTAAGTTTTATTCCAACATTTCTTATGAAACTGCTTGAGCGGCTTAGGAGCAGCAGTTAGGCAATGGTTTCCTAAATAAAAATAAGTCTTGAGCTATAAGTTGTGGTTATAATATTCTACATGTTTTGTTTGAATGCATGTATTTATTAGTGTGAGTGGTGATGGCAGAAATTTATAAAAGTACAATAAATATAAAAGTACTGACCCTAATTTAGATTAGATTATTAGTACTGTGTATAGGTCTATGGAGGAATATCCAATATTAATCAGAATGAGTACAATGCATGAAGGTATTTATTTGTGCGACTGACTTATTAGGTAATTAACTAGGCTAGATTATAGCTTGCATACTTTTGGGCTGAAATGACCTAGCATCATCCATTGGAGACTATCCCTGTTGGTAGGGAAGCGACGACGAACAGTAAATAGGTTCCAATTAATTATTCTTTTATCTAAGGTCTTGGTTGGGATGAAAAGTTAATGTCATGAGTGGAATTCGAACCCAAGACTAACCAACTAATAACTTAAGTGGTTGGAAAGGCGGCATACTGAGCAACCAAGATCATAGAGAAAATAATAAATAATTGAAATAATTAATATGGTTAATTATGACTGCTAAACATGTATGGATTAGTAAATAAAATGTTGAGAGTAAAAACTTACCACTAAATTGTAAAGATTTGAAAGGTTGTCAAGTGTATGTATCTAGGGTAAAATCTATGAAAATACTTTTATTTCAAATACCAGCTGAAGTTTTGAAACAGTTTTTATTTTTAAACATAAATGTTCATTTTTATCATTCGAGTTTTAACGGATGCTTGAAAGCAAATGTGAAAGNGAATCGGACCATGGACAATATGAACTTTTTTGTTCATTTTAGGGTGAAGAATCTACTGGAGAAGTTTGTAGCACGAGTAGCAATTCACCCTGTATACTTAAACAGACCAAAATTCTTTAAGAGTCGATTGTTTAAAAAACGATAATTATAGTCCATTCCTGGCTTTGTTTCTATCTTTAAAAATAATAACTGAAGAGACTGTTCCAAAATCTTTTGGGACTCTTGGGAAGTTTGTCCTACAAGGTACAATGAGATTGAAAGAAATTTTTCTTTTCACATTTGTCGCGATAGGCAAGTCCAGTCACTCGTGCCAAAATCCTTCGAATCATTGCCCAAGCTCCCTATTTCATATCCAACCTCACTATACACAGACTTTCAAATGCCATTTGTCCTCGAAACAGCAAGAAGTCTCCTCCCAACACCTTAAATCCTGAGCCCTGCCCAAAAGTCCTCAAATATGCTTTTCTTCCCTGAGTGAGAAAACTGAATAGTGCTGAGACTGACGATTAAAAAGCATGGGCGATTGTGACAAAAGTAAGAAGTAAATCAACTTTTTGACATTAACAAAAAACGTATAAAAACAAGTAGAAGTAAGCGTTAAAAGTAAAGCTCCTCCTTATAATTTTCTGTAGATACAATTAATTAAGGTTTTTAGTTGAGATAAGAAAGTCAATGGCACGAGCGGGATTCGAACCCACGATCTTCGGCTTGATACACTGCTCTACCACTTGAGCTATCGTGACCTTGATCCACTCGGACACCAACCTCCCATCTCAACCACACCTTTTGAATTTTCTCTCCTTTTTGNTGTGTTTTTTAAGTTTTATTCCAACATTTCTTATGAAACTGCTTGAGCGGCTTAGGAGCAGCAGTTAGGCAATGGTTTCCTAAATAAAAATAAGTCTTGAGCTATAAGTTGTGGTTATAATATTCTACATGTTTTGTTTGAATGCATGTATTTATTAGTGTGAGTGGTGATGGCAGAAATTTATAAAAGTACAATAAATATAAAAGTACTGACCCTAATTTAGATTAGATTATTAGTACTGTGTATAGGTCTATGGAGGAATATCCAATATTAATCAGAATGAGTACAATGCATGAAGGTATTTATTTGTGCGACTGACTTATTAGGTAATTAACTAGGCTAGATTATAGCTTGCATACTTTTGGGCTGAAATGACCTAGCATCATCCATTGGAGACTAACCCTGTTGGTAGGGAAGCGACGACGAACAGTAAATAGGTTCCAATTAATTATTCTTTTATCTAAGGTCTTGGTTGGGATGAAAAGTTAATGTCATGAGTGGGATTCGAACCCAAGACTAACCAACTAATAACTTAAGTGGTTGGAAAGGCGGCATACTGAGCAACCAAGACCAAAGAGAAAATAATAAATAATTGAAATAATTAATATGGTTAATTATGACTGCTAAACATGTATGGATTAGTAAATAAAATGTTGAGAGTAAAAACTTACCACTAAATTGTAAAGATTTGAAAGGTTGTCAAGTGTATGTATCTAGGGTAAAATCTATGAAAATACTTTTATTTCAAATACCAGCTGAAGTTTTGAAACAGTTTTTATTTTTAAACATAAATGTTCATTTTTATCATTCGAGTTTTAACGGATGCTTGAAAGCAAATGTGAAAGAAAGATTCGGCCAATAAGGTGGTCGGCTTTGGTCGCAGTGACGGTTAAAAGTCAGCTGCAGCGCAGTTTCCATGCCCTGTATCTTCGCGGAATGTTTTCCGTACAGGAGTTCGATCTCTTTTTTCCTTTTCAACTCGCTTAAATGGACATCAGGTACTTTACAGTCATCGCCTTCATCTGAGAGCATACAATAAATATTTCCGTATGACAATGTAAATATGTCACTTTACCTTCAGAACATCCTTTTTTGGCTTCTTCTAATTGTTTTCTTTCTTTTTCTTTATCTGAAAAATTCACAATTTAAAAAAAAAAATTTTTGGTTCATTTTAACTTTTTTAAAAACTCACCCCGGGCTAATCTATATTGTCGGTTTTTCTCTAGAAATTCCATGAATTCTTCCGATACGACCAAATCGTCATCGCTGTCCTGTTCCTCTTCGCACCTTTCCTCGTGATCGCTTAAAATCTCATTTGCGTACTCCTGGTAGGCAGAAGTTCTCGCTCGTAGGTTCGACATGACGATGGAATAATTGTGCCAGAACCACGCGCCGGCCACCTGGTTCCCACTGTGATTTTTGACCCGATCCATGCTCGACTGCAAATCCTTGATCAATGTTTCCTTTTGCTGAAGTTTCTGCTGTAGACGACCCAGTTTCCTTTTGAATTTCATGCGACGCTTCGTGTTGGACGAATACTTCTTCACTCGACTATGCGTATCATTGCCTCTAGATTTATTTTTCTTACATTTTACATCGCATTTTGTTCTTTTCTTCATTGTTATATTTTAGCCATCTATAAAAGAAAGAAATTAATGATAAAAACTGTTTTATACGGATAATGTAAATACTCACTTTTTTTTAAATCAATCTGGAAACTTTTAACCCTTACAAAAAAACAAAAAACAAAAACATAAATTACTACACAGAAAAATAAACAGAAGGAAAACACAACAAAGTATACACAAGGAGAGGTTTTCTTCTGTTTCTGAAATCTGTATACTCTATGGTGCAGGAATTGTATACCAGGAGCAGCAGTAGTACCACGTTTTGGTGCAAAATCAGCAATGATCATGATGATAAATAGATTCATTAGCGTTATTTGATTTATATAAAAACAGGCAATTTGTCTAATGAAATAGATCTATGAAGATGCTAGGTTTCACCATCCGGAACACCTATGAATTTAAAAATCCTCTTTGTTTTGTCCATCTTTATAAAGCTTTTGTACAACCCATACTAGAATATGCTACACCTGTTTGGAACCCATTCTATCTAAATTATCAAAAAATTCTTCAATCTGTATAAAACAAATTTTTAAAAAACTTTCCTACAAACTCAATCTTCCTCCGAATTCTGTCTACCCTGGAATCCGCTCTGAATTTAAACTTTTCGAACTGGCACTAAGAAGGGATTACTTTGATATTGTTTTTGTATTTAAATTATTAAACAATCTCATTGATAGTCTCCTCTCTCAACTAAAACTACATGTCCCTTCGCATTCTCTTAAAATCTATAAATTATTTTATATTGAATTCCAAAGCTCTAACTACTCTTCTCCTCTACACAGAATGATGATCAAGAGTAACAACATCTGCAATAGCATTGACTTCTTCAATAGTTCTGTGCAATCTGTGAAAAAC